GCATCTTCGATAGTCGTGTGCATAGAAAAGAGATTAAATTACCATTTTATTTGTAAAGATATAGTATGAATACTTTATTAAATACTGTGAAACGTCTTCCTCGTGGCTTTTGAGATTAAATTCAATGAAATTTCTAGTAAATTGTTGAAGTGTACATAAAGATTTCTTGTTTGTATACTAATACATTTATTAGCCATTTTAACAACGTTCCTGTACAACTTTATTTTTTCGTTCAAACATTTTAACAATAATTGACAGCATCATAAAGAGAGCTTTGCGTTGAGTTCACTGTGCTGTTTTTTCATATTTTTTTCTCTCAACACCCCTTAGGCTTTAAATGAGTTTTTTTGTTTGAACTATTTTGAATGCATTGTTGAAACACCTTACTTAAAACTTAAATCTTAAAATAAGATTTTATCAGTAAAAATAGCCAATAGGTAAATACAATTTGTAAGTATTATATTTAAATACTTTCGTTATAACATGTGTCAGTGCAAAACAAAATATTTCTTTTATTTATACTTATATCTTTAGACAAAGTATCCTCAAGCTCATTTATTATTTAAATATTAAATAAATAAAGAATTACATATTTGTACATGCAATTTCTCAGTCATACCTGAATACAAATATGTATAAGTAACAGCATAAAAACAAATTATTATATTTAATACTATTTGTGAAATTTAAAGAAAAAAACTAAATTAATTTAAAATATTTATAAACATCGAGTAGGTACATTAAATTTTTACTAACTATATCAACTTTTAAAGCTTAATGCAATAATATTTTATGTATCCATGTAAGTCAAGATAAAATAATAACAACTATTAAAGCATTACCAATAGTTAGAAATGAGCAATTACCATCATTTTTAGGTAATTGAATAATCAATACTTAAAGTATTTTTATTAATAATATTGTTAATACATACATTTAGGTATACACAATATACATACATAAAATATGATATTATAGTTAACCGTTTTATAAATAATGACGGATTGATACAGAAGAAAGCTTAATACATTTTTTATTGACATTTGATAAATATCAAACCATAATATATAATTTGAATTTTTTAACTCAACTAATACTGATAACAAATATGTAACATATAGATTTTATAAAGTTGATTTTAAGAAATAACAAACATTATGTCTGTGGAACACTTAAGTAATGAAAAAATAATAATATTTATAAACATGAATTTAAACTTTAAAGTAACAACGAACATAAAATTAAAATATAGACTTTACCTGGTAAATGTAGTGTTGACACCGAGTTATAAATGAGTTTCTTAACTATTAATTGTTATTTAGTAACTATATACCCATCAGGGACATACTTGTAATACGAGGCGGTTAATATGCTAAATATTTCTCCGACGTTTCGTAATCGTTTTCCAAACAGAACTTAATAATATAAGTATATGACATTATAGAAATTAGTATGTGGATAGTGGTTATCTACTTAAACAGTTAAACGTATACTGTATTGTATTTAACTATTAATAATGACTGGTGCATGTATATACTATATTAATTAATTATTCCTTGTTTTTTTTTTTATTCCTAAATGTTTATGATTAATTTAAGTTATAATTTTCACCTAATAAATATCATTTTGATTTTTACTAACCTGTTAGTTTTAGCATAATTTATGTTTTGAATTATTATTGGTTTATCGGCGAAAAAATGTTAAGGTTTTTAAAAATTTTAAATTTTAGAATACGTACCTAGATCGCTGTTAAAAAAGTACTACAGTGGAACCTCGATAACTCGAATCGGTTGGGGGCGAAAAAAAAATTCGAGTTATCGAAAATTCGACTTGTAGAAGTTCGAGTTATCGAGGTTCCACTGTATCAGCTATACACAATTCTAAACAATAATGCACATTATTATATCGCATGCACTAATCGGAGTTAAATCGAACTGTAGAAGTTAACTAGAGTAGTATTATAGGTACTTACCCATAACATACAACTAGGTACCTGGTTATAATGCATAAAATAATTATTATACCGAACGCATATTGCATGCTATGCATATTATATTATTTTTTACAGGTAGCTGCAGCTACGAATTACATGCATTTTGTAAAAATCACAACGGGTAATTGTATTCTCGTCTGCGGGTATTCTAAAACGAAATATATAGTTTAATAATAATATGACGTGCATATTATTGAAGTTGCGTGTAACCGGTGTCTATAGGTATATATCGTATATACATACTTATCTAATACGTAGGTATACCTAAGTAGGTATTATAACCGTGTATAACATAATTTATTCATGTCATCTGTACAATAATATTATAGTATACACTTACTGCAATAGTGCTATGTGTTTAAAACGTTACGATCGTTTTGCCAATGCGATAAATCCTAACCATCAACGTCACTGTAACTGCAATGTACCTGACCGCAATTGAATATAAATACAAAAATACTTACCCATAACATATATTATGTAGTATGTACGAATGAATAAACGAACGCGTATAATCATCGTAAACCCGACGATGGTTTTGGTTCAAAATGGGATAAAATTCCATGAACTAGACCTGTATTTTTACCTCAGCACGAGCAGAAAGGTTTGAGTTTATGTTAAATAATTGATCGTCGTATTGAAAAAAACGTCGGTAGGAGGTACTTACGATGTGCCGCTAATACTTTACAAAAGTATATAAAGTCTCACCCACACAATGTAAGCTATTTTTCTTAAAGTATTTCCGACAAAAATAATCGTGTGTGATGAAGACTACAATATAATTTGTATGTATAATGTATATGTATATGTTTATTGTATAAATTATATATTCATCAAATGTGACGAATATCTGAATACTTATACATAGTATTGCAATAATATGTAAGTTCAATTGTTCAATCTTGCTGCATATTTGCTAAGAAATTAATGAGTATATAAGTAGGTTAGGTTTTAACAGAATATTTCATGTGTATTTTATCTTTGTGTAACTTATGTCTTATTGTAATAGTATTACTGCAGGATGTATCAAATTTAAATGGATAATCAATTAATGTAGGTATACAAACGATTATGAGTGATAAGTGACGAGACGGTGGTCTAGTTTATATTTTAAGGATATTTTATACCATGATATAATATTTTTATTTTTTTTTTTCTATGTATTATTAGTAATTATTATTATTTAATTGGTAGATTATAGTTTTATTTAACCATTAAAATGTAAATAAGCCAGTACTGCGGTTTGCGGCGTTTGTAAAAAAATGTTGAAATGTTTCGCGTGTTTAACATAATTATTAACGCGGTCGCATTATACATTTTGTGTCACCATTCACAGGCTTTGTCGAAAGGAATTATAAGTATCTTAACTATGTTTTGCCTAGTAGCAGGTGATCTACTAAGAGAACTGTGATCGTACAATAATCACTGTACAAATTCCGAAGTGTACAATTGTTGTACAAATCATAAAATTTAAAAACATATTCTAAAAAATTACAATATAATAATTAATAACTGTTGTGTTTTAAAAGTATTTTTTTAATATTACATATTATTAAGTACTTATAATATGAAAATAAAAAAATATTAAATTAATTCATTTTTTTTTTTTTTTTTGGATAAATAATATAGAAATAGCTAGTTTGTAAATTTAATTTTTAGATAAATTTTAATAAAAAAAAAGGTTTAATTTAAATCAAATAGTTTATTTTTTTTTGCAATTTTTTTAATTATATCAATTTATTTGGGGTAAATTTATATGAAAAGTAATAACTCTAATAGCTTCTTTATTTTTGGTTATGTCATGAAAAAAATAAGTCACTTTGCTTTAAATAAACATTAACAAATCTAACTAATACCAGTAATACCTCTACAATAAAAAAAAAAAAAAAAAAATAGAAGACATTTAATGCAAAATATAAATTCATAAAAACACATATTGGTTTGTACGAGTATCTAACTTTTTTTCTACCAGTGTTTCACAAAAACATTTTCAACAAATAGATTATTATTAAAAAAATAAGTTGGTATATTTATTATATTTTAATAATAAATTATAATGCATCTATATTAGAATATTAAATAAAATCATTATAATATAACTCACCTCACCTTCAAATCAAATTTTTCATAATAGTTATTTTGGAAAAAGTTATTTTTAGTTTTTGGGAGAGCTGGGGAAATACCAAATTTCGAAAACAGGTTTTTTATTGGGAAGAGATTTTCTAAAAATTTTGCTAATGTTTTATGAGGGGGGGGGGCTGAAGAAACGTACGTGTACAAATTGCGAAATGTACAATTCCGGACTTTGTATGTAACATAATATATAAGTTGTAAACCACACAATTTGAATATATACAATTTGTTATAAGTTATTATAATTTTTTTTTCAGTTATCATTTATATTACCCGACCTTATCTCGTATGGATTAAAATAAAATTAATCTATCTTTCTATTGTTTTACATTTTGTTTTAGTTAAAATATGTAATATAAACACAATTATAGAAACAATTATTAATTTTCTATTTCTTAATTGTAGACCTATATTTTATGCAAACATAAAAATTGGAGACAAGTATAATAAATGCTTAAAATCTAACGTAAAATCATTATCATTAAGACTGGTATTTGTCTTCATGTGTTTACATGAAAAAATATGTCAAGAATTAAGACAGTAAGTCATGATTGCAAATCATAAAGGTTATCATTGTATAATTGTGTATTCATGTTCATAAGCATTTGGTCTTATTGATGTCTGTAATAATATTTGATTATTAAATGAATGAAAACAATTTAAGTTTAAATATTCTATAGTTATATAAGTGTAACTTTCTTGAAAATTAAAATATTGTAAAAATATTAACGAAAAAGCACAGATTTGTTCTTATTGTTAAGTTTATTATCGTAGGTTAACTTCATACCTACTCGAATATTTAAACTAACAACACAAAATTTGATGTACTAAACGAAAGTTTTCGTGTGTTCGACTGCACCGCAGGGATAACCACATGAGATCATCAGCGTCCGTCGACAACGGCAACCACGGGGCAACGACGGTAAACCCCAGGAGGGCCGCCGATGACGACAGGACGATGGCGCGAAGTCCTGCGGAAAAAAATGCCGATGGTGGTACGGTCGTGGACGTGAGGCTGTTCAAATCGATTGGAGTTTACCAGCTGCTGCACCCAGTCGAATGCGGCATCGACGCTGTCCTGTGGCGGACGGTCGCACTGGTGGTCGTATGCCTGACGCTCGGGCTGCAGTCGATGCAAGTGTGCCGGCTGTACCTGGCCCGTCACGACTTCCAGATGTTCGCCAACATGGCCGTATTGGTCATCAACGGGCTCATGTGTTTGTTCAAGGGCTACTTGGTGGTAGTCAACGCGGACCGGATGTGCGCCACCCTGGACGCGGCCCGGTACACGTTCACCGGTTGCGGAAGCCACGACCCGTCCGAGCTGCGCCGGTGCAAGGTCACGCTGACGGTCATCCTCCGCACGTTCGTTGCGCTCAGTTTCGGCACGCTGTTCGTGTGGGTGATCATTCCGTGGTTCATGACGTCCGAGTACGACGACCAGCCCGTCGTCTGGGCAGTGGTGTACGTCGTCGAATCCATCATACTCACCGTCAACGTGTTCTGCTGGACGTCGTTCGACTGTTACCTGGTAACCATGTGTTTCGTGTTCGACGCCCTGTTCCGCACCATGTCCACCGGTTACGGGACGCTGGGCCGTTGTCGGTCGGGTGTCAAATCATCGGCGGGTCAACGGTTCGATACCGTGGGTGAGTGTGTGCTAAATGTAAAATTTTTTTTATTTGACCGAAATCATTGTTCTCGACTATAACGGAATTAAAAAAAAATAATAATAACACGCGAAAATAATGTGTTATTTATTGCTATACTGGCGTGAAATTATGCTGATGTGAATATAAATAATGTATACGATACTTCACATATGTTTTATATTATTATTCGTTTAATCAAATTTACTCAACATTTTTTTGATTGCACTTCTAAATCTTATACATCAGGAGTAGCGAATCTTTTTTGAGTCATATTTCAAAGTGTTAAAAAAAAATCAGGTGCTAGTAATATCATGTACATAGGAAGGTTTAAACAATTTTTATCGGGGTAAGGGGGTATTAAAAATATTCACTTAAACTATTTTTTTTATCAATTGTGTATTTTGTTAAACGTGAAAAGTAAAAAGTATCTTCAAACAATGAATTATAAATTTTTATAATGTATCAGTTTATTTTTATAAATATTAAATAAATTTCTCCGTTTCTTTATTTTTACTAAACTCAAGAATAAAATATTTAAATGCCGTAAAAATTTGCTAGTATACCTCTTTTGGCACACATGTCGTATAGTTTAACCACTTCAGCTATTTATTGTATAGCGTACTTACCTACATGAAAATTAATTTAGCGTATTCAAGGTTTTGAGCGTTTTATAATAACTACGTCATTTTCATATTTCAATTATTTATTATTGTTAATACGTTCTGGTAATCGCCAATCAATCAATTAATACAAAGTTTTTATTTAAATATTTACTTACGCATTAAAATATCTGTAACTATCTGCAATACATCTAATGCATCAATCGAGAATTTAATGGCTGTACCATAGAACTGCATAGTATAGTGTATATGCTTTATATTTCATCAGCTTGACTGTTTTTGTGTACTTTAAAATAATTTAAATTAACATTGATATGATTATGATATTATAAATAAATATATACTAACACGATAAACTAATACAGGGATATAAACATTATAATTATATAAGCATATTATAATATTTAAAAGTGTATTTAAATGGCCATAATAATTAATAATATTGTTCCTTCTCAAACAAACAACCGCTCATTTTATAAGAAACGATTAATGTTTTACAATAATGCGTACGAGTGTTTTTAAATAATTTATACTTGTGTCTGTCGTCAACTCTTAGCTCTTGGTTCTTGGAATAGACATAAGTAAAAACGCTTCGTTCTTTAATTTTAAATGGGACTTCTGATACTCGATAGGCGATAGTAAATTGGATTTATTTGGTTTGAAAATAACCTAATCTAACCTCGGGATAAACTAAAAAAAAAAAACCTTAAAAATATGAATAACCGTAAATATAGTTGAAACTATAATTAAATATATTTTATATCTATTACACTTTATTAATGTGATATTTTTTTTTTATAAAGATTTTTTAAATATTTTGATTCTTTGGGTTATTTATAGAAACTTGAAGTTTATTTACTATGTTTTCATTTAAAGGTATAATAAATCTTCGATATTTTTTAGTCCTTTTTTCCATAAATATCTATGAAAAAACTATTCGCTACGTTAAAATTCTCGAAAATGAAATATAAAATTAATATTAAAAATACATAGGCATATTTTTTATAAATGTTAAAAGCTAGAAATTTGACAAAATTCGTCAAGGTCTCATAAAGTTTTAAAACTATTTTATAGTTAGAAATACACAAAAACTTTTCTTTGGAAAAATTTAATACAAGATTCCTCTTATAATGAAGCCGTAAAATCTAATAATTATTTAAAGACAATTTTATTTTTTAAGTTCAAATATGGACAAAGTTATTAATTTAAATGATAATTTTTTTTTTTTATTTTTTTTTTATTATACAATCTGTAAATATATTATTTTTACAATATGTATAAGTGCTGTACAAGTAGAAATAGTATAAAAATAGAATAAAGGGGGCTGATAACTTGAACGAAGAATCCATCCAGTACAACTTCTTGAAGTTGTGAATGGGTTTTATTCAGTTAGGAGATCCTGACACCATTTGCGTCAAACGATAAATAACGATTTTATTTATGTTGTTATGGTTAGAAAAAAACATTTTTCGTAAGGACTTCATACTTTATAGATAATATACATTTATACATTTATATACTTAGTAGTATTATGTCTATGGAGTAGGTACTTAAAATGTACACGTATGCATATTATATTAATTATTATTATACATTTTATTATACACAATGACATGTTTGGTTTGTGTTATGATATATATTTATACTATGGATTATAATTTATATGGAATAATATTTTATAGTATAAGTACATATATATTTATATTACGATATGTAATGTTTGATGAAAAAGTGTATAACTCATATAAAATAGTGTTTTTGTTCATTCATTCATAATTCTGAATAAATTTAGAATAAACTACAATAATTATTAATGGTTTAATACGATACTTTATACATTTCTATGTATAGGCACCCACTATCCACATGATCACATATTAGATAGGTACCTATATTATTAATTCCTATTTGGAAAACGATTATGAAACGTCGGGAAAATAATTAGCATATTAATCACTTCACGTTACAAGTATGTCTCTGTAATGGTTCAGGTACAACGAATGACGGTAAATGGTTAAGTAAATAAATATTATCCGTATTTTAACTGTTGCAGCCGTGATAAGCGAAACACCCATAGTAGATGACGACTACTACAATTTGACAAGTCACATTCTTGACAATAAAAATATAATCAAGTAAGTACTGATTATATTATGTACATTATACAGTATTATAAATATATAATATATACGAATACACGATAACTGTCTATAATAGGCAATAGGTATTAGGTAGGTATAAATACCTACCGTATAATTGAATAATAATTACTTCTTATAGGTAATGTACCTACTTATATTAGGTATATTGTGTAAATCATAGACGTGCGCACGGGGCGAGCCGGTCGAGCACGGTAAATCAATAAATACGAAAAATGATTCTAGGCAAACATGCTCTACAGTCTTTTTTACTAAGTATGACGTATATAATGTGTAGACCTAAATCAATGTTTATTTAAACAATCTCGAATTCCAAAGTATAAGTAATTTAATAGCAATATTATTCTTATTATTTAGCACATTCATATTTATATAGTACTTTTAGTTAAATATAATATTTGATATTTATTTCAATAAATAATATTACATACATATTCTACTATTTATTAAAAATTAACCAAATAATCACGTTCTTATTTATATGATTTTATTTATATCATTGGTATTGACTCAAAAGCTAATAACAATATCATATATGAATTAATACGTGTGTATAATACATGTTTTTATAATAATATAATAAATTTAGTGTTCTTTGTCCAAAGTTAATTCAATCTACTGTATGTCTGTATTAGCATAATCAATTAATTAGGTAATTACTAAAATAATTTACTATTAACTAAAATATGGTTAGTAATTAGTATAGGCTAAGAAATCGCTCGCCATCAATGTTAATACTATCACACTTTTTTGGTTAGTCTCGAAACTACTCGTATGAACCAAATGATAATCATAGGCGTGCACATGGAGCGAGCAGGGGCTCGACCAGAATTTTTTTAGAGGCATAAATCATTATGAAATTTTAACCAGATACTAATACTAATAATGAATCAATACATTCGTGGCTAGATTATATGAAAGCAAATGATTACGTCATAAAATCATTTAATGGATTTTTCACGGTACTGAAATTATTCAATGTAATATCAGTTACAAGTTGTTTCTGCGAATGGGTAGGTATTTTCTAAATTAATAATAGTAAAATATAAATTAAGGAGTACTTTATAATATCAAGATCGACTTATTATTAATGTTTACTAAACCAAAACTAGCACCTAATATTAATATAACATGGTCATTGATGAATTCAAAATAGTATGGGAAATAGGAGAATTCATTAATAATTTTTTAATTAAATTTATTACATATAATCAAGTTTATATAATATAATATTATGTACATTCATTTTTTGTTCATTGAACCAAGTTTTTTTTTTAATTTTGTGTATTGTGTTTTCTTCTTTTTATGCATAATTGTATTTATATCATTTTAATTTTAACTTCAAAAATACATGTCTAGATACGTATTAGCACATAATGTTGTGTGCACATATAACTTGATTTTATTTACACAGTTTTTAATTTACAATTAAAATGTACATTAATGTGCTAAAAAAAAATTAGAGGCACTGTCCAAGTATTGGGGCATTAATTGTTCCAGGCTCGATCGAAAATTGAAATCTGTGCATGCCTATGGTGTATGAGTACCTACCTACTTTCCTGTATAGTATTGTAGCTTGTTGTCTTAACACACACTTCTTACCTTATTCTTAAAAAAATAAAAAGAATTTTGACGCATAAATTCGCTGAATTGTATAGATAAACTATAAAAGTCTCAACATAAAGCTTATAACGCGTTGTTATTTTATATAATTATTTTTGTCGAGTCGTGGCTTTACTCTTTAGACGTGGTAAATTATGATAATTAATAGACGGTTTCTGTGGATTATAATTAAAGAGCGGATTTTTAGGTTCTTAAAAGCTTAAAATATGATGCTAATATGTTCTAAAAAAACCCTAAAATATTCTCTAAATATTCCTTAAACTTGTAAATATGCAGATAATATGATTTGTTTTTTTTCCAAAATAATTCAATAAAAATAATAAATAACTTATGTGCCATTCCTTTTTGGTAACATATAAAATATTTAATTATAAAAAATACAAAACAGTTCATAGGTATATGAATATAATGAAATATATTATATAAAAACAAAATAGTTTAATAAATACAATACATAACTTGTATGGCTTTTAGTAACAGCTAAGTTATTTAACAATAAAACATAAATCAATTCATACTTAGTTACCTTTATAAATATAATGAAATATTTATAAAAAAACAAATAAAATTAATAAAAACAAAATTAGTTCATACTTAGTTACCTACTAAACTATATCACCATCAGTCATAAATACTGTATCATTTGTTTTATACGACTCTATCCACTGTTTATGTAAATATTTTAAACTTTTGTTAATTTTCGGTATTTAAAAAAAAATAAAAATGAATATTACAAATTTAACTAAATCGTCAAACATTAAAGTTAAAATAATAAACAATATAAAAGTAAAAATAGATTTATTATTAGAAATCATTCTTATCACATTATTATAAGATCGTAAGTACAATCATGGATTAAGAGTAACAGAATGATCATCATTACCAATTTGATTACAAACAAGTAGATAATTAGATGATTTTTAATTTTTATCATTCTTATATAAAATAATTTTTTTTCCTAGAAAAAATTGTTGCTGGAAATAATCACAAATCGATAAATTAATAATGTATAATATGATTTTTTATGAACAATAATAGAATATATTCTAAAATATGAAAAATAGGCTAAATATTCTCTTAAGTCCAAAATATGCTTTAATATGTTAAATAAATTATTTCCTACGAACTCTGTGAAGGATAAGTCGTCCACATTTTTCACTCTCATAAAGCTGCATAAAACCAATAACAATATGTAAAAACCTAAAAATCCGCTCTCTAGTTATAATATTGTATGCTATCTAGTATCTGCCGGTTACTATTATACATTTGTAAAAAGAATGCGATAACACTATAACGTGTTTGAAAAATAAATTGGTTTTTCGCTGGCCTACAGAATTTGAAATAAAATATCTTGACGATAAAATATTCATACAATAATAAAAGGACTAATTTTCCAACATGTAGTAATGGATCTAATAAAAACAAAATACATATTTGAATTTGAATTTGTAAAGTGTCGTCTAGATTCTAGAATTAAAAACAAAAATGTATCGATATCTAAACCTTATTGTCCTTATTATGTTGTTACTATGGTTCTTAGTATTGGTATCCAAGTATCTAGTATCTACCAATATGGCAATATATAATATATATTTATATTTATTATAACGATATTAACCAAGTCCAACAGTATCGAGAGTCAGAAATAGTACTTCAAGTAGGTAGGGTAGGTTATTAGTTATTACTTATATATTATACCTTCAATCATATTTTCCCGATTTACTTGTAGACAGTACGATGCATTTTTCGACGTCGTTCGACCTATGGTTCTGATTCAAATAGCTGATGGGTCATACTCAATAATCACGTTGATATTTCTCATATCGTTGGTAAGTGATACAAGTATCTGCTTTTGATTAGGTCATAGACACGCGGTTTATAGTGAAGAAACACGATGTCCTTAACAAGGACAATAATATATCATAATAACTTTTTAAACTTATTTCGATTTTATTTATCATCTAGTCGTATATCAAGGGTTATTCTATAGTGTCAGCGCCAATTTTGAAATTTTTTTGCGGATTGGCTTCACTCACCCTTGAACTGTACATTTATTGTTACGGGTTCAACCACATAGAAAATGGGGTAAAACATAAATTTCCATTTTATCGAACAAACATTTTATGATATTTATTTATTCCATAAACTGTTTATAGAAATCCACGGTGAATTTTGGACTTTATAGCAGCAATTGGACAGAGATGGATTTAAAATATAAAAAAACTTTGTTATTAGCTATGACCATGAACTCTGCTCACAAGCGAGTGATGAAAGTATCACCAAATTCCATCGTAAATCTGGAAATGTTCTCCAGGGTAATAAAATTGAATGTATTTCAGGCTCGTGGGCAAAATTATAAAGATTATAATTCAATTAAAATATTTTTATTTTGAATAGTTTTGCATTTTTTGGTAATGTTTGAATATACGATAATTTTTACTGATTTTAGTGCAATTTTTTACATTTTTCTTTCATATTATTTTGACAAAGTAAATATTTGAAAAAACTAACTTATTGTATAGCCAAATCTTTCAATTATTTTTCTAAAAATACCGATTTCTTTTTTGTAATTTTTTCATTATTGGAATTATTTTTATCCCCGTTTCAAATTTAATTTAGGCCCTGTAGTCTGTAAAAAAATATTTTCATCGTTTAAATTCTGATGAATAAAATAATAAATGATTAAAAATATTAATTTAAAAACGATGATTTTTTATTAAAAAACGTAATTTTTGAAAATGTTATTTTTGGTATTTTTGTTATTTATAAGTCATATGAATACTTTTTTATGTGCATTTTTAAAAGATTTTTAGGTCATCAAACTCTAAGCCCTAATTATAATATACTTATATTTTTATATTATATGACATATCTACAGTATAGGACCATGATTTAAGGAAAAGGAACACTAAATATTTTGTCTGGATATTCTTTTATTTTAATTTAATTATTTTTACTTCATATAATAAAATAACATTGTTAACCTTTCTTTTGACACATAACGTGTAAAACAAAAAAAAATGTTGAACTGAATCCCCCTTTTTTAGCACCAATTTGAATTACATTATTTTTTATAACAACTATGATTTATAAAGTTTTTTCTATCTTAAAAATAATAAAATTTAAACAAATAATCTGACCAAAATATTTAGTGTTAGGTACTTTAAAATTTGATCACATATACCTCCAGTTTTTAATTGATTTTCTTGATTATTTTATTTCTCTATACTTGCACCATATTTTGTAATAATAATTATGAACAATAGTCATAATTTAAATAATATTATAATTCACTATTATCCTGATAATTTACAGGTGATGAACATGTCATATTCGATAGTAACCATATTACTAAATTATTAAGTGTTCTTATCAAGCAAGTACCTAGGTTCCTATAGCTAGCAAATATATTTTACAATTAATTGGTAGAATATTATTTATTCCATTGTACTTTCATAAATGCTTAAACTTCATGGTACCGTAAAATAAATATTGAAATGCACACTTTAGCCATTTGAATAATTTAAGCATCATTATATCATAAATCTACATAGTTAAGTTAAAACATTTAAAAAAATGTTCTTAATTGACACTCATAAGATTAAATTAGGTACTAAGTATTAGTAATATTATTTAACAGTGTATTTTTAGTACTATAATAATAATTTATGTATATTAATATGTTAATATTTTACACTGTAAATTGATTAGCCATTAAGTATATACAATTACTACTAAATATTATCTTGATGACTATCTTAAATATTTTGATATTTTAAATTTATTTTAAAGTTAAATTACTATAAATATTGGATTGTATACTTATTTTAAATTTAAAATATCGTTCCTTGAAAACAGATAAAAGTGCACTTAACACATCTGCACGTTATACTATTAAATTATAACATTAGTTTTAAACCATCAGTTTTTTTTTTTCAAAATTGTTCAAAAGTAATAACAATAGTTAATAATTGTATATTTTATTTTTTTACACAATAATAATTATTAAAAATACCTCATAAAATATTAATTTTTTTATTTTTATTGATTATATAAAAAACATAAATATGACAACTTTGTTCTTAGACAGTCTTATACAAAATATAAATTAAATTAAACATTTTACAAATATATTTTAGAAAATAATAGCCTTAGATTATTTTTATCAAGTAATTATCATAAAAAAAAAAATTTAACTTTAAATACATAACTACCGCAATATAATACACATAAAATGTGTAAAATTTTTTTTTTATATTTAAAAAATCAAACATTTGATTTTACAAAACCTGGATTAAGCTCAATTTACTGCACACTCATATTTTTTTTAAGCAATATATGAAATTAATGTATGTAAGCATTCATTGCTAAAATTGTTAATACATGGTTCATTAAATAATAGTATTATTGTATACAATAATAAACAATTTGTACTTTTCAACACATAACACATACAAAGTAATCAGAAATATAGACATTAAAGTAAAAAGAAAAGTTTTAATTGTATAACATAATGAATTGAAAAATGTTAATATATAATTATTGTTTCACTGAAGAGCCTTCTTGTGTATTATAACTTGGCGAATATGGTGGTGGGTTACAATACTCCTGGAGGTTTTGTTGACTTGGCACAGGCATAGCCACATGAGACTGAGAAGTTTGCTGTTGTGGTTGATACTGGTATGTTGGTTGAGGATAAGGAGTTTGTGTAATAGGCTGATGCACTTGTTGAATAACGTAAGGTCCAGCTTGCACAGGATAGACTGGAGTCTGCAAGGACTGGCTGGTAATGGTCACATATGGTGTGGTATGCAATGTAGGTGGAGTTATAGCATTAAGTTCGTCATCATAAAAACATTTCACCACATAAATCTGGTACACTACAACAACTAATAACAAATAACAATGTTAAGACAATAGGAAATCTTAATAATCATAAATTAGTTAATTTTAACATTATGTAAGTAGACATTTGATACATACTGCTTACAGGAATTCCAATAGGAAATATAACTTGTGATGCATTTTTGACTGTAGTAAAACCAATAAAGAGAGTAAAGAATACAAAAAATATTAAGTTTATTACCAACCACTGATTGATACTTTGAGTGTTACGCTGAAAATAAATATATAATTGAACATGAGTCATTTTTTAATTTAAAATATTGTGTAGTCAACTTCTATACAGAGACATAGTAAACGACAGGCATACAGATAGTTGACCTGGTAAGGGAAACAAATAGGTGTTGCTACACCTAACTGTTATCCAACAAAAGTATAGTTACCGCCGAGTATGATTTTTAACTTTAATAGAGTATAACTTGATAATATAAGAAAATATTTATTTGTTTTTGATAATAAGGTGGAAAGTTATTGACACTTTAATTTTTATTTGACAGACATATTCAATGAACTGCAGTTTTAAAACATAGTAGAAAGTTTATTGTTTACTGTACAATATTATTTGTTAGGCAAATTACATAAAAGAAATACTAGATTCACATCAATAAAGATAACAAGCACAGTATTGTTCTCATCGTGGATTGTAATTTTTTTTTATAAATTATAAATTTATTACATTAGTTACTCAAAAATTTTTTAAAGGTGACAAGTTGAAAACCTTTTCTAAACTATTGATATGTAGAAATAGATGTAAAACTGGGACAATATTTGTGCTATCCATTTACTGATAAAAAATACCTACAGACAATTCTATTTGAACAGTTTTTGGTTTGTTTGTTTATAAATATGTAAAATGTGGTAATAATTAACTATGAGATTAACCACTATTTATAATATATTTTATAGATGCCATACTGAACCTTAAATTTTTTTAGTATAATCACATATAACCTGTTAGGTATCTTACTACAACTCGAGGTTCAATATAAAGAAGAAAAATTAAACTTAAATTTTTTTGATTGTAAATATTACAGATCACTTAAATATAAATATTTCAAGTAAAACTTACTATGAAAGTTGCTTTCTTTAGATTTAAGTTCACATAAAAAAATAAAAAAATGATAAATAGCTGACTAAATAGATTGAAATCTTTTTCCAATAGTTGAAGACGGCTGTCACTGGAGAGAGATGGCGCATCATCTACAATATAAAGAACATATAATACATAAAAGAGAATAATTAAAGTATTATGTAACTAATTATATATATTTTTATAATTTTATTTTTTAATTAAGTATTATTTAAATGCAAACCATTATATTAGTTCATTATTTACTATTAACATTGATTTTTAGATTTTGAGATGAGTGCATTATAAATATTAGTGAATTGATTTTACAATGATGTGTAGATTTGTTTTTTAGTGTTTGAAGATTCTTTTTTAGTAAAAAAAAAATCATCAAATTTGAGAGACAAAATTGGGTTCTAGTTTGTATTTTAATGACTTAAGAGTAAACATTTCTCAGTGCTTTATAAAAAAATTATTAAAAAAAGTAAGTAAATTTAATTATTACCATTAAAATTATTGTTTAGTAACCATGGATAATAATAGGTTGATAATCTCTGCTAAGAATTGTTTTGCAGAATTATGTACATGATTTATCACCGAATTCAAATTTAAGATATCCATTACAATATTCAATGATGGGGTAAACTTGACACTAATGTACATCATAGTGGTTATACTTACTTGATGGCATTTTTGTTTAAATAAAATTCATAATTTATAGCAATAAAATAATATATATTTATATTTTAAAATATAATTGATTTAATAAAATTAATTTATAATATAAAGTACCAAAACATATAAATATTTGACATATTTATCTATTGTTATTATTTACAATTCAAATAAAAATTTATTTGTTTGTTTATATTATTTTTTTTCAGTTTTTAAGCATAAAAAAATGTGATTAAAAAGTCAGATGTTTACGATTAAGGTCCTTCTTTTTATAAAATACCTAAAGGCTGTTAAAATTACTTAAAAATTTGGTCAAAGCTTTAAACTAATATTTATTAAAATTTTTTATAAAATAATGTCAGATTTTTAAATGAATATAATTTATAGTATCTTTATAGAATATTGAGTTTAATTAATGCTGATACAGCAGTTGAAATGTAGAAATGTGTATAATAAAAAACTAGAAACTAATATAATATTTTAATAATAAATTAGTAGAAACTGTTTTTTTTTTTTAAATTTAATATTTTACTTTTTGCATAATATTATTTATAATAATTGTAATATACAATAAATAATAGGTAAGGTCGATTAATTTGAAATTTAACGTGTATAATTTCTATCTGAGGAAAACGTGTCTTATTATAATATTACCTAATATTTTAATGGTAAATTTGTTGAGACGAACAAATTTTTAAATGGTGGAGTATCCATGATCCATAATCATTTCTTGTTTTAAAATTGTTGAAAATCGAAAAAACCCATGTAAAAATACAGATAATTTTATACCTTTAAGTATGATCAATTCTAACCAATTAATTAAGTCAATTCACTCAATATTAAAACTAACAAACACAAAAGGCAATGTTAAACGTTTTTAAGATGAATAGAATAAATGGAGGTTAACACATTTACGATTTACCGTTAAAAAATTAGATATTTTAATTGAAAATAAACCAATAATGTACACTTACCAAATGGAGAATTCAATTTTACTTTGTATGTATACGAAGAATATGGTGCGATGCTTAGTGTAGCAATAGCTCGTACTGTGAGTATTATACAAATTAACTAAACAAACAAAAAACATACACATTAGTCATAGACAAGTTTCATACAAGAGTATGTATTTTTGTACTTAGCAAATGCCATAATATGTATAGAAATTATAAGTGGTTATAAATGGTGTTATAAAATGAGTTATTTTACCGTAGATTTATACTCATTTAAATATTAGCTAAACATGATATCATTTTTATGGTATTGTATGGTACGATAAAAAAAAGAAGAATTAGAGAAACGACTATTAAATCACCTTAATGCTATTAAAATACACGGTTCATTTTTTTTTTTTTTTTTTTTAGACATAATTAAAGCAATTACTTAGTACTTATACATAACAATCATAAAGCATGTAAGATAACACAGTATAATGATGAACAAAGAAGTATTATTAACATTATGACACAATTAAAATGTATAAGCATAACACCACTTGAAAGAAATGTTGGACAACGATTTCATCTCCAATTTGAAATTTTCAAAATAATAGTTAACAATTTCGCAAAAGTTTTTTAAGTATAAAGATATGTCTTCTCTGCAGTGTTCAGCGGCAGCGTTCAAACGATGTACTATTGAACCTATGTATTTTGAATGTAGCCGTTTTCTTATAGGCATTCATCGCTGCGTCTAGCACAGGGGTGGCGAACCTACGGCACGCGTGCCAGAGGTGGCACCATTGGTCAAATTTCAATGGCACGTGAAAAATTAAAATTATAAAAATTAAGCTATTTATAAAATGTTTTAAGAAATTCAAAGAAACAAAATATGTTTAAAAATTATAATATTCCTTTGTAAAATGTATTATAATATTATTATATGTATTGTGTAACTTTATTTTTATCCTTAGAAAATATAATTTATTTTGGGCACGTGAAAAATTTTCAAAACCTTGATTTGAAAAATTTGACACTTAACCCAAAAAAGGTACGCCACCTCTGGTCTAAAATATTTGACGCGGCGTCTGGCGATAGCATTGGTTTCGGACCAGTGTACCGCGTCGAATGCCAGCGACAAACATGTTTCGTCTAGAATCTAGACACCGCGGCTAAATGCTGCAGAGAAAACGTATCTAAACATGAAAAAAGAATAGAATTGTATTCATTTAAAATAAAATAAATACATTACTTGTTAAAACATTAAGTAAATATTTTATATGACATTTATCTATTAGTCAAATGTTAATTAATGTATTAATCTTTTACTGTTGTTTGAAAAAATATTATTTTCAGGTTGAAGAATTTATGTAATTTAAATCATCTTCAATAAAACATTTAACTACTAATTCAAACACAACATAAGTACGGTTGTTAATATAAATAAACACAATTACATGTATACACTAATCATTAGGTCAGCACATACAATACGTTATGGTGTGACAAAAGGTTTTTTGAACAGTCCAAAACGATAGAATAACATTTTATAAAACGTGGCTAAATAAAGACAAATTGACAAAACAATAGTTTAGTGGTGATTAGTGTACGAAAATATAGTAATACTAAGAACATACTAGAATATTTGATATTTTTAAGGTAAACTTTCTGATATTATGAATGTCCCATTCTACTAACTGTACAAATTTAGATATCATAATTAAAATCGATTAAGTCGTAAATAACTATACAAATTAATCATAATATCAATAAGTAGGTAGGTACATATTACACTCAACATATTGTGAGAGTACAAATAACGAAAACGAATTTCGTATCCAAAGTACACATAGTACATACAGCATTCGATAAAAAATAATAATATAATATACTTATAAGTGGCATACACGGTACACGCGACTTGTGACATACCTAATAATAATACGTTGTTCACGTGCGTGATATTAATATCGAGTGGTAGCGTTATATTAAACCGGACCTAACTAATGATTAGTTTTTGCTAAGCAAAGAACTAATGAATTAACATTTTTTTCTATAGGTTATGTGTAATAAGACGAGTCCATCTGAAAACCAAATTGCTTATTTGGTTGTTTTAATAAAAAAAAAAACCTATTTGGTTTGACAATATAACGAAAGACAATATTACGAAAAAAACAGTACTTGAATGGTTATAACTTATATTATAGAATAAACTGACAGTTTAATATATTACGATAAATGTATATTTAAATAAGTACATCGTTCACAATGTAGTTTTGTGTATTTAAATATATTTTAGATGAATATGTTTATTCACAAACGAAAAATTTATTGAAAAACTGTTAAGCCGATGCCGAGTAAGAAAAATTATCTGATAAAATAAAGCTAAAAAAGTTAAACGACAGATACTGAATAACTAGTAAAAAATCGACCAACGCGGGAGGTGCTTAAATTTAATTATAATATTTATGGTTACTCACCATGTCAAAAACTGATATCACCCATGCGCCTTTGCGCACGTTTGAACATCCGAAACAGCATCTTGAGTCCGCCATTGATCTGAAACAACGGCGTAATGATTGACGTGAGTGTGGGTACAATTATTATTGAAATTATCGTCGTTTGGATTTTTTTTCCCTATACGGTTATACAACAATATTTAAATACATTTAATTATTATTATTATAAAATAACACAGTAGCACAACAACGACAAAGTCGACGAGACGGTGGTCCGTACTCGAATGTTTCGAATGAGCCGAATGAAAATGAAACCGTCAGCGGTCGCACGCGGTGCTTCGCTGCATGCGCACCACGCGGAGCTTCGCTGTTAGCGGTACCACGTAACGCGGCCGTCGTCGTAAAACGCGTACAAACACGTCTTGTCACGGACAAAATCAGTGAATGGTGTTCAGGAGCCTAATCGTCAATCGACAGAGTTCGGATCCAAAAAGATTTTTATAAGGTCGTCCATCAATAACTATGTATTTTGTATAAATTATGGTATAAAATACATGACGTAACGTAAATATTAATAATTTTATAAGACATTATCATATTTATTATGCTAGTAAATATTTTTGCCACGTTATCGATTTGCATAAGGCTACTACTAGTGTTATCACAGAATAAATGTAATTATTTACATTTCATGTATTCTTCAATATTATATTTGTAGCTAAAACTGAAAATAATATTTATCGTTAAAGCATTAGTATTAATAATAATTAAACTAATTATTAATAAGCTGTCAAAGCTATTTTGATGAATTTCCGATACATCGCATTATCTAACCAACACAATAACATGATATATAATCGTCTGCCAATGCTATATTATGAAAAAACTTATCTATGCATATATTTTTTTTTTTATTATAAAATAAATTTATAAATTTATACTATTTTATAATATTAATAAACATTAATGTGACAAGTTGCTATATGTTTTATTACAAAACATATTACTTGAATAATAAGTACGCTGTACAAACATTATAATATTATCTTCACAATCACCCAATTCCCTAATTATGTTCAACAATATAACATCCGTTATATTACTTATTTTCCAACTCCTAAAGTAAATTAGTAAAATATAGCTAAATATTATACCCACTGAATTAAAATCAACAAATTCTTAGTAAATAATGATATTGAAATATTAAAATATTTTTACATCCTACGATAAAATTGCCTTAAGAAACAATGTCCGAGATTCCATTGGTAATATAATTAATAATGAAATAGTTCATCGTGTTCGTATAGCGGATTTTTTGCACTACGCGCATAAACAAATTAAAATATTAATATTACATATTGTATTATACATAAAAATAGTGTATATTGTAAAGTATCAGATCGGACCAGTTTGGGAACCATTATATCGACACTAAGTAATCGTCATGTAGTGTATGTACGTACAGAAAATGCTTAAACGCAAACACACGGTCGTATTTTTATTAAGGTATGCCAGACGGCCGTTCTTACAATCAGTATTTATTGTTCCAATCGGCGCCACCGAGACCACGTTGTATGTTATTTATAATATAAATAAAAATCATATTAATAATTTAGAATTTACCCGCGGAAAGAGAAATGCACGCTCGTGCGTAGTTAGTTAAACTGGTTAAAGACTATAGGTGTTTTTGGTCTAGTTTTTTGAAAAATGTAGTCTAACAATTTTTAAAATCAAATTTTTCTGTTAAAAAATGTCAAAATGGTGAATTGCAGGTGACATATCGTGTGAACGTTAATATTTATAAAAGTTACAAAGAAAACAATGGTCAATGGCTTTCCTTTATTTATTTCTTAGTCCAAACCACATAATAGTTAAATTGTTGAAAAAAAATATAATTACGTTGGTTTTATTATAAACTATAATAATATCGATAATACATTTTAGTATTTTACATGTATATTATAATTATTCTTATTCTTTGTGGGGATAGACGTCACTTATTGATAAAAAATATATTATAAAAAATAATTGTGATGTAGTAATAAAATTATACGTTTATCATAATTTATTAGGATTTATACAATTTTTATTATTAAAAAACACGTGATAAATAAGTTTCCCAATAATACTAGGAATAAAAGAGATAAAACGCTCATATTTTGTCGTATATACATAGATTTTTTTTTTATAATATGTTTAATTTGTTTTCTCAAACGAATTATACTTTAATAATAATTGCATCTCACAATTTCATAGTTACAAAGAGAAAATATAATATATTATAATGGTGTAATATCTACCAACATTAGAGGCAGTGGCGTATTTAGGGTTTTGTCAAGGGGGAAATATACGTTGGCAAACATTTCATTTCTCTGAATGGGGGGAAGATTGTCACTTATCATCACCTTTGTTACTCAAAAATATTAAGAGTCGATATAATCAGTAAGTATACACATATATTTATAAAGCTGTTTTCTTTAAACAAAAATAGTGATAAATAAAACCTATGATATAATATAATATCCCTATAATCTATAGGTATTAACTCTTTCGGACCCAGAATTAAACATTTTGAAATAGTGGATTACAATAATATCTGAATTTAAAGATATACTTGAAAATAATAAATATTACTTGATTGACGCGAATTTTTTATTTGAGAAATAATTAAATAATGTGTTTTTTTTGTTTTGGAGATTTATTATTCATAGCCCATATGTAATTTTTTTTTTAAAGAAACGAAGAAAACCATAAAAATACACTATCACCTGACTCATCTGGGTAAAGTATGGCTATAGTGGTTAGGTAATAATTATTGAGTAGCGAGTTTTAATTAATTTACACATGAATATATTTCCAGCATTGAAAATAAAGTAATGCAATAATAAATGATAAAAATACTAGTAATTTATATTTTAGACTAGATTCCGTGTTTGCGGAAGCCTTAACTAAACCGCCTTCGAGGTGGTCGGGTGAAACTTGATTCCGGGGTTGTAATATTTTATGATAAGAAATATTTTAATTTTTTCTATCATTTTAATAATAACTTATTTCAAAAAACAATATTATACTCATCAGTCAAAAAATAAAAAGACCAAGGAGAGGATCAATCTCCCATAACACCTTCCTTATAAATACGCCACTGATTAGAGGAATCTTGCTGACTAAATTTAAATGTACTACTGGTAGAAATGGAGTGAAAAATTGACCTGAGATAATTTGAATACTGAATAAACTGAAAGTTTCGGTATAAATGCGGTCAAATATGTGAAAATGAATAGCTCTATCATACACAAAAATAACCACTATTTGTATACATACAAATATACAATATGCGAGTACTTCAAAAAATATCTGGGAATATAAAACTGAAACAATATATTCTTTGTTACGCCTACATCAGATGACTTTCGATGTTGGTTGAAGCATTGAAAATGACCTGTTATTGTTAACTAAAATATGTTTCTTAGTGTGTTAAAAAAAATATTGTCCAAATCAAAATTATATACACAATCACATATTATATTGATTCATATACATTTTGTCAATAATATTTCAATTACTAGTTGAAAGGTAGATTACTGTCATACCGTTCTATGAAACAGATTGACGAATCTTAATTCCAGGATCGGTAAGTATAGCTTATCATGGATTTACTTGATTGTCAATAAAATCAGTTCCGGAGGGAGTAGAGGCGTGACAAAAAAATATTGGAGGCAAATCGTAAGGAAAGACAATTTCAGACAGGGGGATAAAATTCATATCTCGATTGCAGTTGACTTAGCTTACTCCTCGCCATTGCTATACAAATATACAATACTATCAAAATACAAATGATTTCATGTGTTCCGTAAAACGCGATTTTCGTTTTAAATATTGTTTATTTATATTTGAATGCCACTCTTGAAATATAGGATAAAATGTCATATGCTAGTCTTACAACTGTCATAACTGCGTCAGACACGCAGTAAAACAATCAATTGAAATGAACAATCTGAATGTGATAACATTAAATGTCATCTTAAAGATTCAAGTGTATCTATGTTAGGTCAATCAAACGTTCGTTATCGACAAACGAATAATTCACATGCCACCAGGCACCAAAATACCACATTTGTTATTATTTTATTACTTCAATCATTGAATCATACATTATATCTCGAGACAAGAATAATACAAGAAATAAATTACAGTTATACATTATTATTAAAAGTAGATTAACATTAGCGAAAACAAAGCGTCCCACGACATAACATATTTTTTTAAGTGGTTTGGTTTGGGTATATTATGTAACTGTTTGTATTTTGTTTAATCACTCGAAACCGCCATGACTTAAGACTTGAACATTAAATTGTTAAATTGTTTCTCAACTCTCAAGTATTCATATTCTTAATATTATTTCATTTTTAAACAAATTAAATTGTTCAAATATAAGTTTATATTTTGTATCAGCAATTATTGGAAAATTTGTAAACGTTGTGAACACAAGAAAAAACACGGATATATTACATTTATGCGAGCAGATCGAACACTACATAATATATTGTATACTTAATTATATATTTTAAATAACTCGTGTACTTATGTTTATTGTATTGTGAATTCAGGGAGGAGGGCGTGGAGAAGTAGTACCTCTTATTTTTTAAACATGTTAGTGGGTTGTAGTCCATAAGTACAAAATATGACCCAATGATCCAAACGTAATTCAAAAGCGCAAAAAAAAAGATACTTTTGTAACAAACCATCAAACCATAAGTACAAATAAATTTAACAAAAATTAATAGTATTTTATTAAAATGCGCACGATCGTAGCGCAGACACAAACTGATATAATACATAAGTGGTTATTTGATAATATACAATTTAAAACATTTCAATCAAATTTTCAACATGTTTCAATAAAAAATAAATCGAAAGTCATATACCATTTGATATAAGTCTAAACTGTATATATTGTATAGTTATCTTAAATGATCAACCTTCACCGTAATCCGTTATAATTAAATACGATACGATAATACTAAACTTCAACTAAACTCGATCACTGTTGATGGTTTTTGAAATATAAAAATACTACCTATGTGTATAATTTTAAAATGAAACTTGTAGTGTAATGGGTATAATATTTATTTTCACGCTTTTATCGCACAACTAAGATATAAAAGCACAAATTGAATTCGCGTTTTTGGGTTTCACAGTGTTAGTGTAGTCTTTTTAATTATTACATCCAAATCAATAAGGCATTACAATTATTATTAATTGTGTAGTAAGTAACATGATTATTTATTTTAAATTATTTTGGTGATCAAATTTTTTTATTTCAGATAAATAATACTTAATCAGATATATAAAAATGAATTTAGGAATTATAATTCAATATAATTAATTTTGTTTTAATTTTATTCTTGATACATTAAATAGCTAAAATATAATAATCACTATTTTTTTTTTTATAGATAGGATATTGATAACTCTTATATTTTTTCTTAACTTTTAGATTTTAAAGTTAATTTTTAATCATTATTTAAGGGAGGACATGTGCTTATCAAATATTATAATAATATTTTATACACTATACATTACACAAAACTCACTCAAATGGCATAAAAGGTAAATAAAATCTTAATAGACTTTATTTAATTGACCACTTAAAACACACTATTATCTATGATTAAATAATTATTTTAAAATTCAATTTTTTACTTATTTAAATAAATTTTGGGTATCTCTTAGATCATTAAAATCCAGTTTCTATTAACAATAATAATATTAATGGTTATGTATTTCGATTCAGATAAAAAAAGCTAGTAGATGATTATTATTATTAATAAATAATGACATATTTTATAATAATAAGTGAGATATTATTGTTCCAAAATAATTGTTTCGTAATCAAATATTAATTGTTTTTTTTTGTGTTCATAAAATATTAATATGAATGAGTAATAAATATAAAGGTTTAGTCAATTATGTTTACTAGATTTAACAGAATATCAGTTATTTTGCTAATTTTATTTAAATATATAAAACATTTAACTGTATTACTTTTGTTTTTCCTTCATCCTTTTAAACCAACAAGGAAATCTATATTAATATTTAATTATCTCTAAATCTTATATTTTAACTTTGTACTTAAATCATACACTTCTAATCAGTGGAGTACTTAAATACCTATACCAGTTGTCTAGAGACGATTTTTTTTTTAAATATAATGGGGCAGACACTTTTTTAAGAACAATTCAAATTAATTAACATTGGTTTTTTTTCTTAAACTTATTAAAATATTAATACAAAAACTTATAATGATAATAGTTTTTTTTTATGAGTATGGGGGAGAGGAAGGGTAATTTTTTGATGTCCCTAACAGTAAATTCTAAAATATATTCATGATCCTAATGATCTATTTAATTAGTTTTTTGATTAATTCGTCTAAATGAGAAATATTATATTCCGAAGTATAACATAAGTAATATTATACTGTCTATTTTATTTTCTTACACAATGCATTGTTTTAAGAAGTTTATTTTTTCACTAATATTATTGTTTAACATCATCAACTTTCATAAATTCAATATCCCATATGATATAATTTTTAAATCATAATCATTTTCAAATTTTTCAGTTTATTATTGACTTAAAATAAGCAAAATAAAAACTGTTACATAATATTATGTACAAACAAATTACATTTTTTTATACTAGTTACTTAGTTTAAATATTAAAATACTGTTTAAAGTATTATTGCGAAAATCCAGATTTAATTCTTTTTTATTTAAGACAAAAATATTAAGTTTAGATACTATATACATACTAAATAGTAAAATGAAGTAGTGAGCTATTGAACAGTATAACATTCATGGTGTATTTACATCTTACACTTCATACTTAATTTATCAAAATGTTATGAATAGGGCACGGATGTTGTAGTAGTAAAAAACTACTAAAATTGATTGCAGTATTGCACTAAAAAATACAGAAAATTGCACTTAAAATATTAAAAATTGCACTAAAAATTACAACGTTTCGTTATAATTTATAGATGTTTTATTTTAATTCTGCTAAAAAATATATTTTTTATATTTTATAATAATAAATATTAATTAATAATCTATGCGTATTCTAAACATATTAAATATTTTAAATTTTAAACCTTATTGCATTGGACTATAAGTGTTTGTTTTAAATTTTCGAATTCGAACACTCCTCGATTTGGAGCCAATAAGTTCTTATACCTCGAAAAACTTCGTTCTACATCGGTTAATGTAAGTGGAGTGTATTTAAAATAAGCTATATCGTTTATTAAGTTTCGAATATAGCTAAAATGGTTGTATAAATGATTAAATTCAACAAAATTGCAATAAAATTCCAAATATTCCAAAAATTGCAAAAAATTGCACTTAAAACTTTTAGATTTGAATTCGTACTTACATGAAACGTATTTAAAATTTACTTAGCAATAAATTGGAAAGGTAGAAGAAAAGTTGCAAATGCAACAACATCCGTGCCCTAGTTATGAATGTTATGGGGCTTATACAATAATATTGTATATTTGTATGCATGGTCTGATACACATCAATAGTTATATGTAAATAAATAAAACATTCTTATAGTTAAGTGAATTAAGGTTTAACACTTAAAACACAAATTATTAACTAGAGTGCTAGGTACTATGGGTAGGTATATAAGATCGATAAAATAAATAAGGTTAACATGGTTAATATGATTTGGTCTAATTACAGCTTTAAATATAATATCATAATTAATTTTGATTCAAATAATATATTTTATTTTTATTATTAACATATATCTATGTTCTATAAGTAGGAATTAAAATATGATAGATAGGTATGTAAGTATTTACCAATAAACTTAAATTAATTTTTTTATGAGCATTAGATATTTGATAAGGAAAGAATGTCTTTTTTATATTTCATATTATTACATAACTTACAAATATAATATATATTATTAATACTAATAGTACTATGAATTCATATGCTTTAATACTGTGCAGGTTGAAACTAAAAAGGTAAAACACTATCGTATCTGTACCAACTAATTACTAATGGTATTCAATATCTTCCTAATATCTATGTTTATGTATACTTATGTTTAGCTGGTTGATAATCTAAGTATCTAAAAATTTTTTTAAAAACTAAATTTACTAAACTTTTTAAGTACAAATTGAACTTAATTTATTTATTATTTAAGTATACATTTTAAGGTAGTAACTAGTTTGGCCCGTTTAGGGATTGTATATTCTTAGATTTTTAATAAATTATGGTATACCTACAGTGTATGTATATTATATTAATGGCGTGCAATTTGTCTTTCATAAATACATTTAAAAGGCTTCAGATCATAAAATATTAAGTAGATTCTTATATTTTATAATATATTTCACCATTTGATAGTTAGTAAGATAGAGTATTTATTGCAAATTTTCTTGAAACTAAATATGATATTGACTGCAATTACACTAGAATTGATGGCTACATATATGATTTTTGATGATTATTAATTAATATCTAGAACTTTCATTTTATATTATTTGTATTTATTCACTAACCGTTGGTTCAGAACCCCCCTTCTCTACCAATATGTAGTATCAATAATATTACAAAATGTATAACCTTTTCTAATAAATTTTTTTTTACATTTTATTAAATTTATAAGATCAGTAATAAATATTCTTTACTCACCAAGCAATTTGATATTATGATTATGATACTATTTGACAATTTGAATTCTGTATTCACCCAATACTTTTGAGTAAAAGGAGTATTCAAAGAGTTGCTGAATTGTCTAATAATTTTTAAGTTGCGTTTACTGAAAAAATTTAATTTTTTTAGTTAGTGATTTAATCAGTCAAAAAATACCATGATTATGATGATATATTAATAACCTGAAACGATTCAAAATAAAACAGGTCACACTATTATTATACCATTACAAACGAAACGATTAGAAATCAAGAATATGAATAATTAAGACGTTTAATTTTCGAAAACTACGATATTCGATACTAGATGAAAAAACGCTTCCGGTGGTTTATAATTAAAACATTTAAACTCACAAGTTAAAACTACATCTACAGCTAACTGCTTAATAGTAAATGCTACTAAGTACTAAGTAGTAACTAGTAAGTAGTAAGCACTAAACAGTAGTCATTAGTCAGTGACTTGTCTGTAACGTTGTGACCACTATAGTCCTAGGTCTCAAACTCTATGATGTTATCAGTTATCACAATATGATAGCACATAATCATGTTGCATTTTGAGTTTAGGCTTAAGACGATAATAATAAATAACAAGGTACAAATAATGTCAATACTCAATAATGACTCAGAAAACCTAGTACCTACTATACTTCTATTATTTTTCAAACAATCTAATTAGTACAAAACACCAACTAGTTAATAGTTATTAATTATTAAGCATTTCAAATTATAAAAGGTTCATACAAATTATACTTAATTTAAACATATGTTATTGTTTTTCTATGTAAAAAGTATTATATGTTTATAATTATTACCAATATTTTAGAAAAATTATTCCAATAGGTAGGTATTCCTAATGTATTAAAAAGCAACTTCAAAGAAAGGAAATTTTGATAGTCTTATTAAAAATATCAGCTATTGGTATACATAGAGCAAGGATTAATTGTTACTACTTTACAAGTATGATTTACTTTGTTAAAATTCCAATATTTATGATTTGAGTATAAAAAAATAAATATTCTGAATAACCTTCTGTAACAGCAAATACAATAAAAACAAATATCCATATTTAATAATGCTCAACCTTTGAAATTAATGTGTGTTCATAGAGAATATTTATACAGTATTGTCTAAAAATGATGACATATATTTTAGAGAAGTTATTCCAAATGTATCCAATAAGATTTCCAAGGAAAAAAGAAAAAACGAATTTGGGTTGTTCATTTTCAAAAAAATAATCATGTTTTTCAGTTCAATCTGAAAATATAATAAGACTGGGTCATATGGAATAATTAAGAACAATATTGTAAGAAACTGATAATTATTTTAGTATTCATCACTTAAAACTATTTATTTATAAAGTTATTTAATTTAGTTATAGTTCAAAAAGAATAAAATAATGCTGCTAAATGAAACAAACATTCATCATTTTTGAATTTTCTAATGAAGCAAATATAAAATAGAATAAAAGAATTTTTATTTGAATTTAAAAATTTTATGTTGTCAAACTCAATAACAACTGGTCACTGTCAATTCAACAGCTATTTCTGAAGTTGTACCTGAAAGTTAGCTGCTAGATGAACACGGAGAAAAAAAATATTTGAAGCAGTGTAATTGACTTGCATTTTGCAACATAATTTTTTTGTAAATTGTAATACATTAAATTAATAATTTGTAAAATAATTAACAATATGTTAAATTTTTTAGCACAAAAAATACTTTTTAAAAAAAGGTTGAAAGTTATATGTACAAAATAAAACAAGTATATAGCTTATTTTTTGTTTCATAATTTTTGCATTTGTAGCTTCTTTATGTATGACTTTTTTGTCTTAGATTCATAATGATTATTGTACCACTATTTTATTTTTTGTGCATAAAAATATTTAATCATTGATCAGTTACCTACATATAATAAAAAAGAAGCAAATTAAAAAGTTAAAACTTATTTTTGAAACACATTCCATATGTTTAAAAATTCTAAAATTTCATACAAATATATAAAAGGTTTGGTACTTTTTTACAATACAAATTTGTATTTTATATTTTGTAGTTGGTACAGATTAGAGGTATCAATGTATCATCAAATTTAATAAGTTTTGATAAGAATAAAGTTATCCCTGTTATAAAACACTTAAACTGTCAACTCTTGAGTATTATATAGTTCAAATTATATATTATCTGATTTATTTTATAAATGTTATATGTAAAAAAAAATTATGTAAATCATTTAAGAACCAAATAATATTACTCTTGGTAATCAAGAAGTATTTTATTTTTATTTTTGCACTATAATAACCATAAAAAATTATCATAAATGATAAAACTAATCAACTAAATCCAAATGAACCAATTAAGTATTTTATTTTTATTCTGTTAATGTTGTCATGTTGTGCATATTTATTGAGTAACAGTTAGTTATTATTTTGTATCATTTATTAAATTAAAATTCTATAACAAAAGAAAACAAAAACATACTACTTTAACTTAAGTTGAGAAAATAATAAATTTTAAATAAAATAGAAAAAGGTAAGAAATTAGTAAACTTCACTAATGAATTTGAAGTAGGCTGTGTTACGAATGTGTAATATATGTATTATGTAGTGTGTCTCTTATTATGTTTATTACTTGAGTAGAAAAAATGAATTAGATGTAAGTGATGTTTTAGTGCTTAAACAACTACAAGAAAATTTTTTAAAAGCATCATTTAAAACAAAAAAACTAAAAACAAATTGATTATTTTTTTATCCCATCCCATCAAAAGTAATCTTTTGATTCACAGTATGTAATAAATTAGATTGTAATTTTATTTATATGTTTTGATAAAATTAATTATGGTTTTTGTAAAAATGTATTTTTATCTGAATCTCCATTAAGAGGATGCTGCACCCTCATGTATTATCTCTGTCTAACATACATATTACATAGCAAATTTTCGTTCAGCAGAATCCATTTTATGTTAACTTTAACATAAGAGTAAATTTACCTATTATCAAACTTAGAGGTAAGAATTTTATCTAGGTAATCACAGGATTTTATTGATATTTTAATTTTAAGCTGAGTTATAGCCATATAAGATATTGAAACTTTAAAATGCTCATAACTCACTTTAAAATTATAATATTAATAAAAGTCTATGTTATTTTCTAGATAAAATTCTTACCTTTAAGTTTGATAATAGGTAAATTTATTCTAATGTTAAAGCTAGCAACATGAAATGGATTCTATTAAACAAAAATGTGCTATGTTATATGTATGTAAGACAGAAACAATACATGCAGGTACGTCGTCCTCTTAATCTGGCATGTTTTTAATCTGACAGTCCTCTGGTATCTTATCTGGCGGATTATCAACAGTTTACCATACATAAAAATAGGTTAGGTTAGGTAGTTAGGCTAATATGTAATTGTTAAGTGTATGTGTTAATTAAATTAATATTTTATTTAAATAATCATTTCAATTTATAGTAAAACATTTTTGATTAAAAATTTATCATACTAAATTTAAAAGTAATTAAATATTTTAAATAGATAATAATTAATTAATCAATCTGATGGCTTTAATTATTCCTGTTAAACTAACACAATTTGATCTAAACATAATCTTTAGTTAATATATCCTTTGAGACTTTCTTTTTATTTTCTATCAATAGGTGATTAATATAAAGTACTAAATTCAGAAATTCAATATTTTTCACTAACGCTTATGAAACTAAAATTTTTAAATAAAAACTTATTTATTGAACTTAAAAATGAGTTAAACTCATCAAATCAAATGTCTTAGTACTATTATTATATTTTTGTGGTTATCTATATAATATATAGTGTAATAATAAATTATGCATAATAAAATATCTGTAATTTATTTCATCATAATTTTTGTCACAGACTCTATTTAAAATTAAAATTAAAAATGATTTAATTTGAGCTAATATTTTTAATAGCTTGTGTTAGTCTGCAATTTTTTCAAGACAACACTTAATCTTTTGACAACATCTTCTAGTAGACTGGAAGCACCAATACGGAATAAACTTGCTTTCAACCAATCATTTCCCAATTGATTCTTTACTAATACGAGCCAACTGAGTGCTTGTTCATTAAATTTAATTCCTCCAGCTGGTTTAATACCAACCTACATACACAATTTAACAAAAGTTTTTAACATTAAAAAATACCTCCAATTTATTATAGAAAATCTGATAATAAAACATATTAATACATGTACCTGATAACCTGTCATTTTGTGATATTCTTTAATTGCTTGACACATGATTACACCGTGAGACAATGTGGCATTCTCAGCTTCTTTTCCTGTACAAGATAAAATCATCATTATTGTAAACACAAAACACAAAATATTAACAAAAATAACAATAACCATAAATATAAATTAAGTAAATTCCAAAAAATCAATAAGAGCTATCCTGTCATTATGAAACATATAGATACTGTATAAAGTACAAGATAAAATAAAAGTATATTTATTAAAGCTTTATTAACTAATTAATAAAATTACCAGTTTGTTTCAAATGCCAGACTAAAGTTAAACAAAAACACTGATAAATAAGAAAAAGAAAAATATAAAGAGGGTGGAGTACATTATTTATTTTTTTTCTCTGACCCATGTACTACATATAAAATCTATGTTTAGCAGAAGTAACCTTGTATTTTCAGCTTTAAAATTAGAATGAATTGACCTATTATAAAACTTAAAATGAAGAATATTATCTAAAAAACTTTATGGCTTTTTTTTTTAAAATTTTTATTTTAAAGTAAATCAAAATTACAATTTTAAAATGTTTATAACTATTTAGTTTTAAAATATTAATAAACTTTTTTGAAATGTGCAAAATAATATTCATATTTTATAACTTTAAATTTTAATTTTAATAATAGGTAAACTCACTATATTATTAAAGCTAACGACATACACAAATTTACAATTTGCTATGCTGTGTGCGGATCAGAGACAGAAAATCAATAATGTGCTGACATTCTCATAAGAGGGTGTCACATCCACGTGTTTTTTCTGTCTTAAAAATGTACAACATGGGATATTTTCGTTCAGTAGAATCAATTTTGAGTGTTAAGCTTAAAGAATAGAGAGAAATGGTCTATTATCAAATTTAAAAATAAGAATAAAATCTTTGTTGTCTTGTTAGTTTATTTAAGTATCGTAAAAAACCAACAAGACAATACAGATAATGTTCTTACTTTTAAAATTGATGATAGATTATTTCACTCTAACGTTCATGTTGTACATTTTTAAGATACATGTAGGCGTAGCGTTCTGCTAATAGCTTCTAATTTTAGTCGTTAATAGAAATAGTATAATATGCTCTCCTTAAACTTTTTTCAGATTACAGTTTCTGAATTATTTTTATCTAGCCTTTGAAATCAAAGTTTAAGTACATTTATGATTTTAGTTTAAAAATATGTATGGCTAGTTTATGTAAATTTATATAATTATACATTTATAATTTATACCAGTAGATGTTTTAATAAAG